TTGATGGAACTTTTGGTCTCCAGAGGATTTACTGGACTTTGGGATTGAGTGTGCAGACTCTGACATCGCTGGAAGCATAGAGGCAGGATCCCTTTAATTTTAATGCCTCTCTCTCTCTCTCTTCAGTTCAGGATCATTGATAGTCTTTTCAACAGTACTGTTGTTTAGGACCCTTCTCTAGTACACTCATGGGCACAGGTGGTAAATCATGTTTCTGATCATTTAAACTAATGTTCAGTATCTGCCTTCTTTTTTAGGTTTTACCTAATTGGTGGAGGAATCCCTGTGATAGTTTGTGGGATAACAGCTGCTGCAAATATAAGAAATTATGGGAGCAAACCGCACTCGGCGTAGTGAGTATTGCTTTACTGACTTGGAGCTGGAGGGCTGTGGAGGGCTGATCCTGCTTGATCTCAAACAGTGGTAAAGACTTAGATCCTCCATGGAAATGCCTTTCTTAAGGATTTTTCTTTTTCTTGCAGTTGTTGGATGGCATGGGAACCAAGTTTGGGAGCATTTTATGGACCTGCTGGCTTCATTATTTTTGTAAATTGCATGTATTTTCTCAGCATATTTATACAACTGAAAAGGCACCCTGAACGTAAGTTTGAACTTAAGGAACCGAGCGAAGAGCAGCAGCGCCTGGCCACCAATGAACATGGCAGCCTGAACAATCAAGATTCTCTGTCCGTGTCGTTGGTTTCCACTACAGCTTTGGAAAATGAGCATAGCTTCCATGCACAACTTCGAGGCGTGAGCCTCACTTTATTTTTGTATGTGGCTTTGTGGATTTTGGGGGCCCTCTCTGTTTCTTCCTCTTACCCCTTGGATTTAGTCTTCAGTTGCTTTTTTGGAGTCCTTTGTTTGTGCCTTAGCAGTTTTTTAATAATGCATCATGGCGTTAATAGAGAAGATGTCCGACGTTCTTGGTTAACGTCCTGCTGTCCTGGAAGGAGCACGTATTCGGTACAAGTTAACATTCAGCCCTCTTCCAGTGCAGGTGGCCCAAATAGCGATCCTGCCAAGTGCACCAATAGCAGTGCAGAATCATCGTGCACTAACAAAAGTGCATCAAGCTTAAAGAATTCTTTGCAAGGTTGCAAATTAACCAATATCCAGGTTGCGGCAGCCCAGTGTCCTCTGGGTATTGTAGCACCAAACCCTGGCCCTCCTCTTGACAACAGTCTTACTGAACACTCTGTGGACAATGAAATTAAAATGCATGTAGCCCCTTTAGAGATGCCCTTACGGACGAATGGGCACCCCAGTCGCCATCACAAAAACAGAAGCAAAGGACACCGTGCCAGCAGACTGACTGTCTTACGGGAATATGCTTACGATGTTCCCACTAGCGTAGAAGGAAGCATCCAGAATGGCTTAATTAAGACACGTCAAAGTATTACTGAAGGGCATTCAAGGACCCGAAGAGCCTATCTGGCATACAGGGAACGGCAGTATAACCAGTCCCAGCCAGACAGCAGTGATGCTTACAGCACTCTTCAGAAAGGACACCGGAACACTGATAAAACGGTGCCTCCCACCTCCAAAAAAGACACGCTAAGGAAGCCCATGGTGGTTGAGCTGGAAGGGCAGCAAAAGTCCTATGGCTTAAATTTAGCAGTCCAGAACGGGCCCCTGAAAAGCAGTGCCCAGGATGGGACGTTTCTGAGTGCTGACAGCACTGGAAATATCAGGACTGGCTTATGGAAACATGAAACTACTGTGTAGTGCTACTGAACATCCCTAAAAGGGCTTAAGAGGACCACTTGTTTTCTGTGCTTGACTCATAAAGGTATTTTGAATGGGAGATCTGCCATTGGATACACCTTAGAAAGTATCTGTGACATTTTTATAGTCCAGTTGCTCTTTCATGGATCTTTCATTACCAGTCCCTGTTTTGAGATGCCAAACTGGACAGTTAAAATTTTTTTCCATGTAAGATCATTCTTCAATATGTCCAATACATTTCACTTTTGTATTTAAATGTGTAAAATAAATTACTTAAAGTTCTCTTACAT